GCGCCCCGCGCTCGGCCCTTCCGCCGCCAGCCCTCCCGCCCCCCAGCCTGCAGGGCCTGGGCTGCTGCTGCCCCCACAAGCGCGTTAAAAACCCACCCAGCAGCCACCATCTCCCCCTCCCTCCAGGAGAGAGGCACCCGCCTACCCGCCCCCAGTTCACAAGCAGCAGCAGCATCTAGGGGTGGGTTGCTGCAGGGTGCACACTGGATGCTCTTTGCATCTCCCCCTTCCTGGGGCTGATTTAAATCTCATTTGCAAAGGAATTTTTTTTAAACTTGGACCAGGCATCTACTATTATTGGAACCATCCCAATATTATTCTGTATGCAACCATACCCTCTCCCCTCCAAAAAAACTGGGTCCTAATTTTTCACACTTGCTCTCTGGTCACCCTACTTCTGCTAGGCCTGTTAAATGTCACACCCCAAGGGTGGATTAGTTACACTCCACTTTCATGCAACCACCCACACACACACCCCTTTTCCTGTGTGAGTTACTCATTACATTAAAATAAAAAGATTGTTAGCTGAAATTATCAATGCTTGAGGCTCCCTGCTGTGGGACTATTAAAATTTAAGGGACATTGGAATCATTGATGAATTAAGATAAAAGGGAGCCCACTATTTCCAACTTTTGTGAGCCAGGCTGATTCAAAAAAGCATCGAAAGACTGCATTTGGAACGTTCAAGTCTCCACAATAAGTCATCCTCACTAAGGACCTTTACTAGGTTTCTTCTAATTGCCAACCATTAATACAGTTAGGTCATTTGAGAACTCTACTACCCTAGCAGATGTTACAATTTAACAGTGTTTTACTGTGCAAGGGCTACACATGGAAAAACACACTGGGTAAGGAAGAAAAGTAGACCCATTAATTTATAAGACACTAACCTTTTTAAGGCAAACTATGGTGATGGTCACAGTATAAGAACCAATTTAGAATAGAAAGACTATTCTTTTACCACACAAGGGTTTCCTGGTTGCTTTATGGACATACCTTTAACATAGCTTATCTTTTCCCACAGATTCTACAGCTGTGCAACCTTAGAGACAGGGCTAACACGATCCAATGGCTGGAAGTGAAAGCTAGACAAATTCAGACCATAAATAAAGCATAACTTTTTAACCATGATAATAATTAACTATTGAAACAATTTACCAAGCGTCAGGGTGGATTCGCTATCACTGCCAAATTTTAAAATCTGGATTGGATGTTTTTCTGAACGACATGCTCTAAGAATTATTTTGGGTTAATTCTATGGCTCGTATTACATAGGTGGTCAGATTTGATCATTGGTTCCCAACCTGCAGCCTGAGGGCTGCTTGCAGCCCAATCAGCACACAGCCGCGGCCCATGTGACAACTTCAGGGCCATATAGGTAGTATATATATTATGTGGATGCAGCCCAGATAACACAGAGAGCTGCATATGCAGCCCACAATGGTAAATAGGTTGAGAACCACTGAACTAGATGATCACAATGGGTGTGTCTGGCCTTAGAACCTATGGATCTATGAAAGCATTGCCTTCATGAGGATTTTTTCACATTTAAAGTTTTTAATTGACCCATTCATTTTATAAATCTTTTATTATGCAGAGACCCAGTCAGGTCAGAGCCCTATTGTGCTATGTACTGTAGAGACATGAGTAAAGACAGTCCCTGCGCCAAAGAACCTACAGTCTTGTAAATTCATTCCTTTAGCAAAGTGAGGAGTTTACACAGATTAATTATCTTGTTGCTGGAACCTTAACTTTTGCATTTCCTGACAGTGATTTTAACTGTGCTACCTTACCATTGCGTTAATGCAGCCTTTGAAGTGTAATGTTAATGACTGGTAAAGGAAGTGTTAGTACCAACATGAAAACTTTGTTTAATATAACTGATCCTGCAAACACTTCCGCCCATGCTTAACTTTAGGTACATGACTGCTCCCATTGAAGTCACTGGGACACATCTGCATAAAGTTATGTCCAGGTGTAAGTATTTGCAGGATCAGAGCCTATGACATGCAGTACAGTTGTCAATAACCCATTGCAGGAAACCGTTAATAATGAGCAGAACCACAGAAATTAGAGAGGGGAAACCCCATTGAGATGACTCTTTTTAACTGGATCAATTAGAAAATACATGCTCTGCGATTTAACATATTACCTCAAGATACAATAGGAGTCAAGCTTTCCCCCCCCTACAAAAACACCGTACAGAGTAGCAATTTGCCATGTTTCCATTACTCCACTTTAAGAGGTGGTATCATGATTGAAAACTCTGCCAATTGAAATGCAGTGTTTTAAAGGGAGACAGGCCTGTCATATCATGAGCCTAGATGAATTCAAAACCCTCTACAGGCAAGCAGAACTAGACTGTAATTTATGGACAATACTAGAGAGTTATTATACAGCATATGAATGGTAAGGGGCACATATGGGAATCTCCGGAGACCTGATTTCTAAGGAAGCAGTTCTCATCCAAGCCACAGTACCGGTGAAGAAAAAAAATCAGTACCCAAAAATCTAATAGCAGCCAAGGGCTATTACCTATGGGGTACTTTAAGATTACTAACTCCCTCACAAAAGAGTACAGAGCGAGTTCATACCAGCTATTGATACACAAGCTGTGTATAGAAGCAGGATACGTTTATGTACAGCTCAATCAGTTTTCCCATTGTTGAAGCCTACCTTTAGATATGTGGCCTTCCTCTTTGTGTATTATAATACATGATTCTTGGGCACAATACACAAGAGTTTTGCATAGTAATAGATGTACTTGAAATAATAATTACATAGATGTTCCATATGTTGGACCAAACCTGGCACACATACTATAGCAGTGGCTTTTCAAGTTCTTGTTGTGGCCATTACTTCAGCTATTCTGTCATCTCTCCCCACCCCAAATCCAAACACAGAAAGACTTGTAAAGTTGGAGGTTGGCCATCTTAGGCATGTGTTTTAAAAACCCCTATGAAATCATCCCAAATTCATTTTCATTCATTGATTCAACCATCAGAAAAATCTTTCAAAGTACAGTAATTGTTTCCATATTTGCTCCTTTAGGGACGCTAGACAACCACAAGCCATTAGTCTTCACCACACAGCAAAAGGCACCAACAATCCAATCATCAGCTTCATAAATTGTTAGTCTGCCACAGAATTTTAAATGCAATGCAGATTGAACAGATTGTAATCACGCTCTCCCAGATCCTGCTAAAGATAGCCATTAAAACAGTCATATGTAGGCTTTTTATCCCATAATACTAGAAAGCTTCACATCTGCTCTGATAACACCTATGTGGAGTGCACAAAGGAAAATGGACTTGTCATTCAGTGCTTGACACTAATGCTGCCCTGCCAGGAGTGACAGCATAGTGGAAAAACAGGATCAAAACCTGCCGCTCAAGAAAGCTACTATGACAGGCATCTTGCAACAACAAACATTGGTTTAATGAATATATGTTCCTCTTGATAAACTGTGAGGGTTTGAATAAAGGCAAACTTCTAAATGTAGTTGAAGAATCACTTTAGATGTTGCCAGGGAAGAGAGAAATCATACTAAAATGAAACAATACTTCAAATTATTATGAATTTGAACACTGAAGGCATTCTACTAAAGGTCATCAGGCATGGGATGGAGCATCATTGGACCCTTATTCAAGTGTATTCCCATTTCTTAAAATGGAGTATCCCTGATGAGACTCCAAAAATGATACAGTCAGAAGCATCAGCCACTAATTATTTGCTTATGAAGTTTGTTCAGTTGGAGTTCCCACCCAAAAAGCAAAGTTGTGACTGATTATTTTGGATGCCTCAATTTTTGGTTGCCCAAATTAAAACAGGAGAGGCCTGATTTTTCAGAAGGAGGGTGCTCGCCGCTTCCTGGAAAATCAGGCCTTTTAAAAATATATCTATTTGGGCACCCAAATATCACGAGATGCTTCTGGAAGTCTGGCCTCCATTTGCTCTGACAGAGACACCTTTCA